AAAAAAAAAAAAAAAAAAAAAAAAAAATAAGGGACTTGAATCTTCCTTTTGTATTTATTGTCAGAGAAGGTTCTCAGTTGGGGGCCCATTGTCTATAAATAGACCCACCCTCATGGCACCAAAATGCCCCTTTTTGCACTTATCTAAACCTTTCAGAAAATATGCAAGAAACATACAGATGTGCTCAATGCTCTTCAGTTTTTAATTCCAAGTCTGCACGCAAACTTCATGTTCGCAGCTTGCATCAATCCTCAATCAGACTCACCAACTCACATGGCAGTACCATCTCCATAGAAAAAATTAACGGCCAATTTACTTGCCCCCAATCAACTTGTTCTTATGCCACCAATAAGGCGGGCCTGATGGAAGCACACTATTCAAGATGCCGATTCCGAATCAGACAATCTATTCCTCCAATCCCCCAACAGCCTGGAATCAATTGTGGCAAAAGAACCATCCCTGCCCGTGTGTTTAGACCACAAGATCAAGTCAAGGGTACGTTTCTTCTTTCCCTACATCAGAAAAGAAACAAACCCCACTGAGTTGTTATACAGAGATCCCCTTATTAAAGGACTATGGAGTCGCGATACAAGCAAAAGCCAACATCCCCATCTGCACCAACTCCAACTGCTTCAATGGCATCTTGCCCCAAGAGCTAGTCAGCCATCTCAAGAATCACCACAAGATCTCCCTTCCCTCTGGCTCCTTGGATTTTTTGCAACTTCCCCACAAACCTCCCCAAGATATCTACCAGCTCGACCATCCCATCCCCCCTTTTGAAGGAATCTGGATGTACCTAGGTATGGTGTGTAAAAGGTGCTTTTATGCTTGTGTCAAGATGGAGACCATGCGCAAGCATTTTGTAAAACATCATTGGGGTGAAGGTCAGGGTTCTTAAAATGTCCTTATCTTTGTAAGAAAACTGACCAGATCATCTTGATACAGACACTGAAAATGGTTCTTGGAGGGACCAAACCCAGCAAGGATGGGTTCAGACTCTACTCCACCATAATCACCGCCGATTCTTTCACGTCCTTCCCGAGAAACCCAGTCATGAAGAGCCACTCCAAAGTTGTTCTGGCAAGCAACCCAGTCATGAAGAGCCACTCCAAAGTGGTTCAGGCACCACTATTCAACAACCCCTCCCTGCCCCCACCTGAATGTGTGCAAGAGATCCTTTCTCAACTGCCACAACCACCTCAATTCAACCAGCCTAATCAATGTATCAGGCATAAAATTAGTGATTGAAAATTGCATTGGGTTATTGAAAAACAGATTTCAAAGTTTGAAAGGATTGCAGGTGTCTGATCAGAGGGATTTTAACATAATTAATTCCTTGATAAATTTATGTGTATTTACTATTTCAATCTCACATCAGTTGAAAAATGATGTTGACTTTGATAATACTTAGTGCTTCATAACTTCTTTTTTGAAGGATAATATGGTGAGATGGATGATTCTGATGTAGTGCATGTAAGCGGTGGACAGAATAATGAGAACCACTTAATAATGGGACAGTGGCAGGGAATAGAAAGAAAAAAAGTAGGTGTTGGCTAGTGCTTTGTTATTTAGAACAAAACAGCCTTGATTTTAATTAACAGAAGAAATAAACTTGATATTCATGAACAAGGAAATAAATTTTTATCAGTACTGTCTCGATCTAGGAACATAGCCGTCCCAAAGGCGCGGCTATCTGAATGATGCCAAGCACAGTCTTTGGGATTAGAATCTTTTGGACAAAGTATTTGGCTGACATTGGGAGGGCCATTTGGGTGGTCAGTCCAAGCTTGGATTGAGTGAGAAAAATCTTCAGAAGAGTCCGTTAAATGACTTCAAAACCCTGAACGCCATAGATTGAACAATGAAACAGATGCAACAGGTATAAGTTTTGGGATGAGCAATAAGAAATGAATAATGAAACATACTATCCAGGTTGTTCTTGCTCAAAGGTCCCAATATCATAAAAAACACTTTGGGCTTTTTGTGCACTGAGTGTCTGCCAGTTTTTGAGAGCATTATCAAAGAAGCTAGAATGGATTTCCCGGTTTAGAATTGAAGAAAGGTGATTCTGTAGACCCAAGAGTCGGCTTTGGAAATGAGCCAGTACTGGCTCAAGGGATTGTAACAAAGGAACTGACGGTGGTAGTCCATGGAAATCTATGGAGGACGGCCACCCTTTTTCAATTCAAGAAGGGATCACCTCTGAATTGGCGCAGTGCATGATGAAAAAATCTCTGGCCAAAAAGATGAGATTCATATGTGTTTGCTAAACTACACATCATTGATCTTTCAATCATGACTCACCGGAAAGTGCAAGGCTTTTCAATTAGTGGGCCCCCAACAAGGACTGGTATCCTTGTTACACTTCAGCCTATTCTCCAGATCAACAGGGCGTTTGGAAGGGTTTGGCGGCATTGGCTTTTAACAGAAGACTCATAAATCTACACACCACACCATGATAAAATGTTCTATAAATAATTATATGAGTTTGTACACATATAATAATGGCATGCTCACCGGCTT